GATCACCCTTGGGATTCAATGAATTCATGCATTGCATGTCCTATTTGCACGCGGCTGTACAGCAAGATTACTGTTTTTCTAACAAGATACCTGTTTGAATAGAGACACTATTCAGTTCCACTGCCTCTCGGAAGACCTTACCTGTCTTTCAGGGCAATTAAATGTACACACGGATACGACTTATTTAAGCGGAATTCCAGGCACAGGTCTGTATGCATTCGGTGCAACAGGCTGAGTGGTTTGTAGGTTGTGCTAGTGTTCTCAGCACAGATCTGGTCCTCTTTCCATAGAAAACCCATGGGCTTTGCTACCCATGTTAGAGGAAGGAGGACCAGGCCATTTGCTATTGTGTGTAATCTGGGTTCAGTATTGATGACCGCACCAAAAGATGTAATAGGTACCACTGTTTCTTGCTCTCAATCCCCCTCTCCCCCCCATATTTTAGGTCAAGATATCACTTTTTATATCTGTTGAGATTACTTATTTGAATTCCACTTGGGTGGTAAGAAATTCATTTCAAAACAGGTTTTTCTTTTTCTAAAGAACAAAAGGATATTTGTTGTGTGTATTTCCTGCAGTGAATATGGCTGTGCTACTTGCTAGGAATCCACATTTAGGGGCATGCATTTTTGATACAGATACATTGAAATGCTATTTTTAGTCCTAAGGTGACGTAAGGAAGGGAGTGTGACACTACTAGTACGTGGTGAATTTAAACAGCAGCTAACTCTGCAACGGGGAGTTATTGCTGTGTATCCACTGCTACTAGCTGTGCTGATGGAAAATATAATCCAAATCAGCAAACGTAGGATGTTTACTTTTCTGTTAGTGAAAGTAGAATCACATAATTGTTAAGGTGGGAAAGGGCACTAAGATCACCTAGTCCAATCACAGACTAACCAATAGAATTAGATCCACTAAAATTTATTTCCAAATAACTTGTGAATGTATGAGCAAACCTAACAATTGGTGACCACAGTCTGTGGCCTTCTATCTTCCGTTATTCTGTTTGAGGTTAAATTGGAGTAAAATGGCATTCATTTAAAAAGGAAGAAGAACAGATTCAAATGTTTTGTATTTTACTGACTGTGCTTACCATTGGCTGTACCATTTTCTTACTGATACAAGTTTTGCCAGCTATGACATCCTAGTCAGATTTGCACAGATGAGAAGTACAGAAAAATGAGATCAGTTGCATATAAGATATTAAAAATGATTGTAGTAATCAAGTAATGATAAAATGATAATTGTAATATCATATTGAATGGATGTTTGAAAGATTTTTTAGGAATGCTATGTATAATATAAATAAATAGAACCGTATGCCTGTTTTGTCATGTATCTGGGGACTAGTTTTGAAATAAGGTATTCTCCTTTTGACTAGATTAATTAATTGCTGATAATGATCTGAAATTGCATTCACAGAAGCTCAAATTCTCATGCATGCATTATATGATATTTAAACTAAAAAGGCAAGAAATCAATTCCATTGTTTGTGTTGCAATTGACTGAATAGTAATTGAGACACAGGAAATTGAAAGGAAATTGAAGAAAAATTTCCAGAAAATTTATTAGCAAGTCATCTTCATGAGCTCTTAATTAAAATTTAGAACATAATTGAATTATGCTTTTTATTTCATACTCAATAATTTCCAAAATCTGCTAATATCTTTGCAATTATGTTAAAATTACTGTATCCTTTATAGACAGCATTGCTTTTAAAATTGTATTTCCATTCTCAGATGGCTGCTACTGGAGAAGGTGCAACTTGTAATCAGCAAAGGAATGGTTTATATCAAGTATTTGATTGGGATGAAGGCCAGTGTTTTGGTAAAAGTGCTCTTTCACTTGCTTCCAGTGGCAGCATCTGAGTGAACTGGGGAGGAGGCTTCCCCTGTCACTCAGCTGAGAGCCCATAGGATGGCCTGCAAGACTGCCCCCAAGAAGCAGCTCCCAGGGGTGACTGGGTCCTGGCTTGCTCTCTTTGATTATTAGGCTCATAGGACACTCATTTTCACAGAGGGTAACAGTACAGTTGAAAGGATAGAAAAGTGGGAAAAAGATAAGTAGAGAATGGAATAGGGACTTAACATATGCATTAGTCAAACTTTTAAATGCATAATAAAAGCACTTATATGAGATGAAACTCAAGGTTTGTATAAGTGAAAGAGATGTTGTACTTGTTTTCTGTAATGCACTGAATTTTATCTCAACAACTTTGCATTTTATAAACAGTAACATAAAAACAATTACACAAATGTTTACACCCCCAAGCCCCCCTCTGCCAACATTTCTGTTACTAATCTGATGCCAGTTTGCTTTTGTTTTGAAATCAGCAGTTATTGACTAATTTCCTATCTCTGGTTGTTTGATATTATTGCTTTGTCCTTCAGTTGCCCTTGCCTAGCACCTTTAATGAAATGTACTCCAGTACAGTACTTTAGCACTGTTTGGTATTCCTCCTTACAAAAATTAAGTACAAAACAAGGTACATTAAGGTATTAATAATTTGTTTTCAGAGTTTTTAAAGATTTCATGGATGAGGATAAAAGGGGCACTAATATGAATGATGGTAAATGGGGAAAAGAAGAAACAATCACAGCTTATGTTCAAATAAATCTGTCTTTGCTACGTATATGGTGAAAAAATGTTTATGTAAACACAATTTCTTTGTAAGAATTTGGGAAATCTCTCCAGCTTTCTCTGTTGACTGAGTCAAAACATTCAGAACTTTTCCAGGCTTGCAACCTTGCTGAGCATATGCTCTCCTTGAATCTCTTCTCTATGCATTTCTCCATTTCTCAGGTATTGCCTACCTGAGATCTTGTGCTAACTTCTCTTTTCTAATATTTCATAAATGATTAAATAAATTCAAATGAATAAGTCTCTTTATTTTTTCTTGTTCTTTTAAGTGATCTTCTTCCCCAAATTGGAAGGATCTGTCTGTCCTGTCAGGTATACGATCCATGAAGGTATTTCACCTTCTCTGTTCTGTAACCCCATTTTGGCCAGAAAAGGAAAAAGGAGCACTGAGACAGTTTGTAATCCTACCACAGGAGCCAGATGAAACAGTTCCCCCTTGTTTCTACACCATACAACTCAGTTCCTGAACCAAACAATCTAACTTCGGTTCCTTTTCATTTTACAGGCATTTACATTCAAGCCTATAAACAAATAATTTTATACTTACTGTCCAGTTGTCAGTATGTGACAAAGTACTCCCTACAAAGAGAGACAGATGAGTAAAAGCAGATTGAAGTTTTTAATCTAGAAAGGGAAGAGACTGAGAAGAGATAGTGAATTTTAAATACATAAAAACTAGTTGCCAGGTGGAATTGATCTTTGCAAATAGGACAAGAAATATTGTGTTTAACTTTGCAGCAATGGAGCTTAGAAATACTCTTTTTATAGTTACAGTAGCAAGGCACTGGAATAAATTGCCTTTCAAAACCATGGAGATTCCAGAATGAGACTTGTAAGCACTGGTTTGAAAGTCATTTCCTAAGACTAATACGTGGTTAATGGATCCTGTGGTGAGACAGAGATGGGTTAGCTCTCTCTCAAGCCCTCCTTTTTGCTATTCCTTCGTTGCAGGCATGTAAACTTATGGGCTAAAGGGAGCAATGTCAGATACGAGCAGTGACGCATAACAAAATACATTATTTACATCAACCATTGCTATGGGAAACCTTTCTGGATTTATTCCTACCCAGCAACAAAGAGACGTTACTATGAGAGATGGTCAGAAGTAATGTCCAAAGTATTAGAGGTGATTAAAAGGCAGTGAATGAAGCCAAAATAATTGCTTAAATCAGTGATCATATAAATCAGGAACAGTCTGTGTTTATTATGTTAACTCAGTGTTTTTAACCTGTGTTAGTATGCTGTGGTAATGTAGAAGAAGAAGTATTTACATCATGGAATCACAGAATCAGAATCACAGAATTACATGGGTGTAGGTGAACTATAGGATCTTTTCCTTACCCTTCTGTATCTTCTTGCTAGAAGACTGAATGACCTTCATTTACTAAATCAATACTGAAATTCCCATATTTCTCTGTAAGCTGTGCCAGGGAGGATGAAATGAATACTTGCGTACGTAGACATATTGAATAAACTCAAAATGTTCTGTGATCTGCATCATATAGCAGCTCTGCTAACTGATCTAATGGCCTTTTCTGAGGTTTGAATATTCAAGAAAACATCTTGTACTTCTGAGAAAATGCAGCAAAACTATAGATCTCGCTTTATAACATATGAAAGTAATATGAAAGCAGCATGGTGGGGTTAAACTACTATCAGAAATGTTACTCTTTTGCCTGAGATAACTTGTTCCCCTTTCACCAAGACCCAGTTATTGCCATTTGGATAGCACACAAGATGCAGGTTGAGTTTTTCAAGGGGAGAGTCATCTATTTATGTGACTGCCAGCTAAGACATTTCTCAGGACCTTGCCCTTTAGCTTGTCCTATCACTATAACTGAAATAAAGAGCTGATGTAGCTCAGTTCTTTGACAGTAATCACACTTGAGTAGTTTGGCCAGGATCTGATGTTACACTTAGTACCAAATCCCAGGGAGAGAAATTTTGAGGTCTTTTCATTTCTTACATCTTACTTGGTCAATGAGAAGACAGCTTAGTTGGTGCTGAGCAAATGCCATGATCTGTCTAAGGATTTATCCAATATGAAAGCACAAGAGCAATGGCTTGCTTTGGAAACTGTTGTTTCAGAGATTTTTTTCAGACTCTCAAGCACAGCAGTAAGCTGAAACCCTGCCACAAACTGCAGTGGTCAGGATCTGTCTACTTGGCATTGCAGGAATTCTTTAGAGCTCTAAGAGGAGTCCCTCAGAGCCAGCACCTGTTATTCTGTCTCTTTTGTAGGACAAAACTAAATGATGTCATTGCTACTTTTCTCTCCTATGAGCAAATTAAGCACAACATCAGAGAAAGCAGTGGAAAATGTTGTGTCAGAGAGCTCCATTTCGCAGCCTCAGAGACGCACATCCAGGCAATTCCTCTGGATAGCAGCTCTGGCTTAACCTGTACCCTTTTGGTCACAGGAACATCTGCTCTGTCTGAAGACAAAATGCTAAAGAGGTCAGAAAGAGTAGCACGTTCGCCCTGCTGTCACAGTGCTTATGCGGGCGTTGTTAGACCCATCCACTGGCACAACTCTGGGAGCCGTTCACTGTAATTCCATCTCCGCCTGGAGAACCAGAGGGTTAACCAGCGTCGCTTTCCAGCAGGGAAGCACCGCCCGCTCCAGCTGTGCCGGGGGTTCCCAGGGCTGCCCCGGCCCGGCTCGGGTCTGCGCAAGGCGGGGACAGCCACCCTCTGCTCCCTGCTGCATTAGCGGGTTTCGCCCTCTCCTAGCAGAGCGTCCCCGGGGGGCGGCTGGGAGATTCCTGAGGAGAGCAAAGTGCCCGGAGGGAGCGGCAGGAGGAGGCGGGCGAGGAGAGCATCCCCTCTCCTGCCGCCGCTGACGCCGTGCAGAGCTGTCGGTGTGGCTCCCCAGAGTTAGTTGCTCAGCAACAAGGATCAATTAATATGCTTTGCAGAAAGTGCAGGGGAAGCCCGAGCTGCTGTCAGCGAGAAGGCAGGAGGCTGAGGGTAATTCAGGATCCCACCCGAGTCTGACACCCCTTCACTGCCACCTCATCCCCTTCAACCTTCCGTTAGCTACTGTTATTTATTTATTTATTTATTTATTTATTTATTTTTGGCTTAGTGTGTGTGTTCCCAAATCTTTCAGGCAAAGCAGCTCCTTGCTTCAGAACTCCACTGCTTCGAGGGTTTTGCCTTTAGATCTCATCTGTATTATGGGGTTATTTGTCAGTCTTTTTCCAGCGCTCTTCTAGTTTAACATTTGTGCTTGTTGGGGAGGGAAAGGGACAGATGATGCTTTAGTCAGATGGTTAAAATGATTCTTCTGGATGAGGAGGGTTGCTTGGTAACACACAGTTGAGTGGTGGTATTGAAAAGGCATCATGTGTGAATTGGGAAAGTTTTCGTCTCTCCTTTATTACAGGTAATCAGCACTGCATATCTGAGACTGAGGAGATAGTACTGGTGGTTGTGAAACACGTAGACAATAGAATAAATGAGGAGCTGGTCTTTTTTTCCTTTTTCAGCATAGCAATTTCAGGACTTCAATAAGGTATTCTTTTCTTTTTTCTTTTTCTTTCTTTCTTTCTTTATTTGATTGTCTTTGGAGTCCCTCTGATGACGCCACGAATCTGGGAATGAAGAACTTCTTCAAGCTGATTGGAAATGGCATTGCGGAGCTGAAACTTAACTGGAGGAAATATATCTCCCGAAGAAGGAAATATAATGCACTTTAAAGATCTGACTTCTGGTGAAAAATTCAAGCCTAGAGAAAACTTGTCTGCTTTGTTTGGAAGAATGGGTTGGACAATTTTCTTCAGTTCCACAGGATATCTGAGTGCCATGCTGAGCTTGATCTCTGCAGCATGCTCTGTGCTTCTCATCTCTTCCTGATGCACTGCATGGTAAGGCCTTTTTTTTTTCCTTAATAATAATATTTCTGCAATGGTGAGAGCTGAAAATGCCACCAATAACCAAATGAAAATTGAAAAAATATAAAAACCTAACAAAAGAAGGTTTATTAGTGTGGTTGTTTTCCAGGAGCAAGTGTCCTGATTACTGCAGTAGCTTTGTAAGATCATTTCTGTCATTTTTCTTGCTTTTTGGCTCTGTGTGTTTGCGTGTGCGTGTTTGTGCATACCTATGTTATCAGCTGCACTTGCACTGGAGCACTGGTATATTTCCAGGCTAAAGGGGATGTTTTGGAATTTGCTCTGATATTTCTCTTTTCCTCCCTCTATTCCCCTTCTTCTGCCTCCCCTTCCTCTCTGTCTCTGTCTCTCTGGGGTTATGGTGCTACACTTTCCCTGCACCTCAGTTGTGTACTGACTGCTAGAAGGGAAAAATAGGGAAAACAGGTCCTGTAGAAACACAGAAACATTAATGAATCTATATTATCTGGGTAAGAAGCTATAGAAGGCTTTACAATGTCTGCTACCTAAGGTGAGATCTGCAGGTACAAAATACTTACCCTCTGTGGGAAACAGGTATCAGATGCAGAATTGGATGCTGTTTTAAATACACAGGGAGGAAAATCCTTTTACACATCAGAACGCCAAAAAAATGACCAATATGAATTTTGACAATGTTACTTTTGATGACCTAAGTTACAGTAAAAGTAAGAAAACCTACTGTGATGTGGTCTTGTATCAGGTAATTTCTGTCATTTACTAGCTTGTGTATTGGGAATAATTATGAATTCAGTGAATGTGGTAAGATTTTGCTTGTAATGTGGATGAGAGGTGGTAAGTAAGTGCAAAGTGATAGTATTAACTAAATACTCAACTCACTATAACTTATGGCCATTATCTGGAAATTGCCAAGCAGATCAGGAATTATAAAGTGAGTATACTGAGGCAGAAGAACATCTTAGCTTTCAAGAAAGCCTAGTTTCTTTGGATTCCTGTTTCAAAAGCGTAGGATAGAATGAAAAATAAAAGAGTGTTGATGGTAAATATATGTATATTTTCTTCTCTGTTTTGGTTGATCAGTGAGTTTGAAGAGGGGTGGCTGCCCCTTGAGGAGCAAACCAAGGTGAAGGCCTGCCCCTGCCCTGAGGGTGATCTCCATCAAGTCCTACTGGATTTGACAGGAGATGAAATGCTGAGGAGCAGGTTTGAGTGGCAGTTGTCATGGGCTCCCCAGCTGTGGAAAGAGGTGAGGAAGTCCTGACTGCAGGTTCAGAGAGTGGGAGAGGTGCAAAGAGCCAAAGCAAAACTCTGAGACCGGCCAGCCCAAACCAGCTCCAATGGACTTAGTATAAGAGCTTAAATTCTATTCAAAAATTGAGTTTTGTCTAAGATACTGATACTTCCCTCATAGTGAAGGGACCTCATGAGGTAATTTCTAAAGAAAGAATGGAAATGCAGTCTTTTCATGTCACCACAGCAAGAGAAAACTGAGATGATGCAAATATGCTCCTATAGTGTGGCCGTTTTCAGGCAGCATTCAGAAAAGCTAGACTTGTTTTTAAGAATAAGGGTTCTTATATATAATAAGAATAAGGGTATGTATATAAACACATACAATAAATTAGAATTTTTTCTATATTGTGCTATTTAAAGTGCACAGATATTATAAGAACCAATAAGAAAAACTGAGGAAGGATAACATAACTTGTAGATGTCATCTTCCAATCCTCCCTTGTGGAAGAAGCTCTTACTTGTGGAAATGGTCTCCCAGCTTTTTATGTGAACAAGGACTGCATACTAAACTCAAATTTCCTATTGCAAATCTCCCCTCACATCAGCAGGTCTACTTCAATCAATGGGACAACTCATATGAGTAAGAACTACTCATGTGAATAAATTAGGAAAGATTTTGTAAGACCAGTCTCTTTGATTGCCATGGCAACAGATTTATTAGGCTTCAGGCACAGTTTGTATTTCTCTTCTAAACAAAATCATTTTTTGTTTTACCCATGTGTATCCTTTCATCTTGCAATTAGGACAAGAAAAATAGGTCAATTACATTCTTGAAGATCATACAACTGTACAGACACATGGTTAGGGAAGAATTATCAGAGTATGCAAAGTTTACTTTTATTTGTGGTCTCTAAATCCAAGATGAGTGTATTTTTACTAGAAACATTCATTGCCTTATTTATTTATGCGACTCTGTTAATGTTATTAGGTATTCTAGTCAACAACTCTGGAAACTCACCAAAAACAAACATCATTTAAATTATGACTGAACATAAAGAAGCATTCACTATTATTAAGTACAAGGAGACTTACCAAACTACCTAATACATTACATATTTTCATTCTTTTAGTAATACATCATGTTCAGCTCTTTACTAGATCCAGAAACATGTTTATCTTCAGGGTATAGAAGCAAGATGAAGTGATAATTATAACAAACTTCCTAGAGAATATAGATATATATTGTCACAGGAGACATTAGAACTTGTGAGTTTTATTACACCATGCAATATTTTCTGCTTATAAATGTCTATATTATTAGGATATGTGTTACATAAGAAGTAATATTTCCTTCATTGAACATTATAAAGAACAGTCCATTTTTAGAATACAATGTACAAGATTTTTTTTTTTTTTTTTTTTTTTTTTTTTTTTTTTTTTTTTTTTTGCACTAGCTTGTGCATTATGGAAGAAATGAAAATATTAGAAAATGTGAGAATAATAACCTTTAGTATGTATCCAGTACTCTAAAGCAGCAAAAGGTTTGTTTCATTAATCCCCAAAATAACAACACATACATAGTGTGAAGATTTGATTCTTTTCTAAGGGGGGTGTAGCTTTGAGAAAGAGGCTTTTGTTCATGATGATCATTGTTTTTAGCAGACATTTCTATCAATGATGTACTGGGACAGAGCTCTTTCTTTAGTGCCATTTCTCATCGTTTACTTTAAACAGTCATATAACAGCTTTAATTAGTTGTCTGTGAATTCTAAAGGAAGTGAACGTAATTTCCCTTCCTTTTAGATTACTATTCAATAGGGCTCTGATGTTGAAAACATATGTATTTAATTTCAATCCACGGAACTCTTTCATTAGATAAAGTATGTGAATTAGAGCTTGAAGTGTCTACATTATCAGAGCAGTTACGCTGAGTAATGGAAATACTTTCCATATTTGCAACAACTATTCCTAGTTGAGAAAAAAGTACTTAAAAATAGAACACATAAGAAGTTCCTGTACCTGCAATGCCTTGAGTGTTTTTGATTCAAGAACCAGGAAAAAATCCGAGGTTTTGCTAGGCACACAAAAATAATTTAAAAATCTGAATCTTAAGGTTTTACTGTTTAAACATAAACACGGGAAGAATACATACATCTAACGAGAAATTTCAATTGATCAGCATCGTTCTTTTCCAGAAACCAGGATAAGAAATTGAAAAGGCAAAGGTATTAAAAAAAAACCCTGAAAACTCATTTGTGTAAAAATATGACACATTTCATTTCAGCATTGTTATTCAGACTCTTTCATATTTTTAATAGGAAATTCCAAAACTGTTTTTCTCAGTGATGAATTGCAGTATTTAATTTTTTTTTTTTTTTCCTTCAGGGAAATATATATATATATATTTAATACTAGATTTGTCATAGCTGTCCCAATATTTATTGTCTCTTACAGGTCAGCTCTTTAATTGCAAGCTCCCTGAAAGGCCAACTTCAGCACTACCCATTCATAGCCCTATATTGTTGATACTGAACAGCAGTTCCTACCAGCTCTATGGTAGATGTAAGTTCTGATTGCAATTCCCTGTTTTAACTATTTTTGTGTCTTCAGAAAAAAACAGGCCTCTATTATGCTGAGGTTTACAGATACAGAGGAGGTAGTTTCTACTACAAAAGGCTTTGAGAGGCCTTCCAAGTGCACGCAGGCAAGGAGTTGAATTAGTCAAGTATTAATATCTTTATTAAATAGATAAGGAACTGAGGAACAAAAGACTGCCGAGGGCTACACTGTCAGGGAAGAGTTCTCAACTGAACCCAAATGTCCTCATTCTCAGTTCATCACTGTCCCTGCAAGGTTGTTCTTCATTTTCTTCATTTTTTGCTTAATGACTTGCGTTTGGACTTTTAAGTTAATACTAGTTGAAGTATCAAATCTGAAAGGGATTTACTGATGCATACTTCCTTTCCAGTGTGAGACAGTTGTCCTAAAAAATTCTTTTTTTCTCCTGAGCTGTTCTGTTTGAATGTAACCTTTAATTATGTAATTGGTTTACTACTTGGGGGAAATGCATCCTAGATTAAACAGCAAATTCTAAATAGTAATGTCCTAAATGCCCCATGTATACCAAGGTGTGTATATGTGTGTGTATTTGTTTATGCTGCCTGGATTTAATGATAGCTTTGAGGACTATTGGTAAATGAATGAGATTGAAATACAGGGCAGCCAGGAGGAGCACCTGCATTCCCTTATCATCAGCAGCAAAGGTCCACAGGGTCATCCCCAGCCAACCTTAGCTCTCATTCTTATCTGCAGATACAATAAAAGAGATTCTGAAAGGCGCTCCCATTCAGGACAGAAATGTTTTGCATTTTGATTTGGATATTGAACTGTATAAACGTGTTTTAACTTCAAACACACAGATCTTAAAGAACTTTTCATATGTACCATAATTCTTTTTTAAATGACAGAGGATCCAAATACTTGTTAGGATGTAAGCATGGTGTTTACAGTGTTTACACATTTCCTGCAATATTAATAGATGAGGAAAATAAATCTAATGATTATGATAAGGTACTTTTTTGAACATTGACAGGAAAGGTGGATTTTAGCTGGCTAAGAAACATTGGAGATGCACATATATACAATTTTTATTCAAAATAAGATCCTCAAGAAGAAGAGGCTTTGTGAGAAAAGTTGATTAGCTAAAGGGATCAGTAGATATTGATGCAATTTGATTGCAAATTGAATCAAGAATGTCTATTGCAGCTCTTTCTGAGAAAAAGAATGGGGCAGTGCCTGTCCCTTCCTTATTTAAGCTAGACAGCAAGCAGTGGTGTGACTAGAAAACAGTCTTTGCATAGTCTGTTACTTGTTCAATATGGAAATTATTGAAGTGCATATCTTCAACCTCTGACTTCTAAAAGTTTGGGACTTATCACTTTACAATAAATAACATAGGATATTGAAAATCATCTCATTCTACTTCAGGTAATGCTGTGTTGTAGTTAAGAGAAATAAGGACTTCACTTTGACATGTGCCAAAATCTAACAATACTTTGCAAAGAGAGGTGATACAGAAATATGTTAAGAGGATCAGAAAGTTCCTTTAGGGAAGGCCAATTCAATGCTTTAAAACCAAGTCATTTAAGCTGTTCAATTCAGAAAATAGATGACAAGGCTTTTTGTTGAATTCTGTGGCCTGTGTATTGTTGGGATTTGTTTTTTACTTTACATCAAAAGCAAAAATTGGTTGAAAAGTTTTGGTTCAGATATTCATAGCAAAACAACAACAAAAAAAAAAACCTGACTATAGAATCAGTAAAATACTTGGTAACAGACAGGATTTTGGAAGAGATTTTAAAGTATTTGTAAAAGTTCTTTTTAATGGATGACCTCTATGACACTTAGCATATACTGTTTCTGTGCTGTATATCTGTATTTATCAAAGCTGGAATTCCAAGATTTCCCTTGGAAGAACCATTCATTCTGCCAATGTCATTTCTGTTTATGCTGGGTTCCTGTATTTTGATTAAGTAGCAGTTGGTTTTTGTTACATCAAGGTGCTCTGGAGTTTAGCATAGCTGGATGTTTTCTCTGATTCCTCAAAACACTGTTATGAAAATGTGCAACAATCTATATTATGCTGGAGCCACCCCAAGGTATTGTTAACTCAATGCATATTATAAAGGGAACAGTGTTTCTGACATGACTTCCTGCAATGCTCAGGGTGTTTTAATGTGTCATATCACTGAGAGCATCCCGAGTGTGGAAAAATCCGATGTTCCTTCCTTTTTATTATGGTTTTAATAGCACTATTATATATGAGTCTGCTGAGGAAAGGTTGGTCCATTATTTTGACTCATGACTGTGATTCCTCAGGTCTTGCATCTTTCCTTGCACTTTCTTAATGAATTGTAAGGGATTGCTGGAATCTTTGGCTCTAGTGGTTTCTCAACTCCAGCCCCAAAATCAGTGCAAAAGATGTTTAATGCACAAAGACCCATCTGCTCCATCCGTGCATGCTCAACACAAAATAATTCCAATCCTACTCATTGAATTTTAGAAAGCTAGTAAAAGACCAGAATTTACATATGCAATGTTTCTGCAGAAGAGATAGATGAAAAGCATCACTAAAGCTTCATGCTCTTATAAGCAATAGTAATATTAATAAAGCGGACATGACAGATATTATAAAGAAGACCCTACAATCAGATTCCTTTCCAGTTTCTAACCTGGATTTCAGTGTATATATGAGTATGCGCAGAAGGCACATCAGTTGGATACCAGAGAGATTTTAGCATCAGAAACTGCACTGCACTCTGCTTTGCTCCTCATTCCCACCCATTGCCCTTCTCTGGAGCCTCACCTGGAGATGCAGTTCACCTGCAGAAATCAAGTTTTGCATGAAGAGAGAAAGAGTCTTTCTTGATCCCTGCAGGTTAAGCAAGGGATTAGTAGCTGATGCAAATAGAATCAATAAGCAATTTCCTTTGTAAGACAAGGGCAACCTTCTTGACATCAGTTCTTTAGTGGTAAATGCCAGGTGTTTTTATAAAGTTGCATGGGTTACCATGTATCTTAAGAATCCAATAGCATACACTCCTTGCTCACACATCCTCATCAGGAGCCTGTCCAGACTCATCCTCCATTGGCCCTTCCTGTGTCTACCTCAGCCCATGCAGGCACGTATCCCTAATACCCATGACAGTGTATCTGGGTACATCTGTCCATTGCAAGTATGTATGAGCTGAGCCTCTCTCTCTTGTGGTCATGCATCCATCCCACCTGCAAGTTCAGCACAACTGTGATTATGTTGTCTGTTGTGCTCCCCTAAGATCCTGATCATTGCTCCCCTGTGATTTACAGTGGAGTATTCCTCAGCCTTGGGTGGCACTGCTAAGAACAGGTCCCTCAACTGTATAAGTGATGTGTGCAAATATGATGTCTCCTGGGAGGCTAAATAAAATAGACAGTGCTCCTTGCCAGCCACTGCCATGTCTCACTTTCTGCCTTGGTATACAAGGTCTGCCAGTATGGTTTTGAAGCCTGTATCTGTTATAGATCCTCTCTACTCCCCACTGCTAAGTCCAAGATCTGTGCATAGGACTCAACTTTCACATGAGCATTAGCACAGGATAGCTGCTTCTGCACTGAGAAATAGAAACTACTGTCATGCAATGAGGTAAGATGCTATGGATAGTTGATTTCATAAGAGATTTGCAACAAGATAGGACTTTTCCACAGTGCATTGCACACAAGCATGTGTCCAACCTGCTGGGGTGAGCACTACCATCCTACTGGGTACTGTCACAGCTGGAGTGAATTTAGGAGCCAGAAAATCTGCTCTTCAGATTGTCGCCCAGTTCTCTGCAGACACACATGGCTGGACTGATGCTGCTATCTGCTTCACACCTATGTCTCCCCAGTCTGGAAGTGCAATATCTCATCCCTTATTCTGCTTATATAACATGTAAAGATGCTGAGTTCTCCCAGAAATCAGGTTACAATCACTGTGTGATTCAGCTTCCAGATCTGTTCAGCGAGGCCACTGAACCTTGCTTGTGTGTCCCAAGGTGAGGATTAATCTGTTAATGTTTGTAAAAAGCTATGTAAATGCTCTGTATCATACTGACAGGTCAAGCACTGCATTGCTCACTGACTGCTTCTCCTGGCAGTGTAAGATATATGTCAAACAATGTCTGTGCTTTCAACTGATGTTCGCTGATCTATCTTGACTGGCTCAACCCTCTCAGGATTTGGCCCTCCTTAGCCTGCTGATAGGTGATACAGCACAAATATGCAAGGCTGCTGCTTTTCCAAATAAATTTGAATGCAGTAAATACATCATTGTATGCTTCTGCATGACCTTAACACTCAGGACACTTTAGTTCTCCTAAAGAACACAAGGAAAGTGAGGAAGGAAGCTGGAGCTCAGTCCCCTGTTTAGCTGTGGGCAGGAAGGTAGCAGTAATAATTTCTTTTAACTGTAGGCAAGGATCAGTAGCTCATTTCACTGGTTAAATTACCAGGTACTGGATCCTCGTTATTAGTGTTACACATGGATTTTTATGTTGATTTTTTTGTATGAATGCATAATACTTTGATCATCTTTCATGATTTTTTGCAGTGAAGGTCATTTGCCACTGATCTTTGCTGATGTCTTTATGGGTATATTTAAGTTTTCCCAGTCTATGAGGGCTGCTCCAAAAGTAATGACTCCTTGTTTCATTATGTTTGCCCACAATATCAGAGGTGGATATTGGTGATATGAAAGTAAAGGCTGAACATTCTCACCAATATTCTGTTCCATTTTTTTTTTGCCATACAATAGATGGCAGCAAAGGGGCAATCTGACAAAGTGTCATCTGACATGGAAGTGTATATCAGGCAAAGATGTGGAATTTACCTCCATGCTCCATGCAGAAAAAAATAGTACCATCGACATTTGCTGACACTTGCTGAATGTTTATGGAGACCAAACAGTGAATGCAAGCAGTGAGGTGGTTGGTGTTGCGTTTCAACAGTTTCAACAGCAACTTGAAAGACAAGCAACAAGTGTGAAA